TTATGATTTTTAATGTTTTCAAGGGGGGGGGGGAATACAAACCAAACATAAATGATTTTGATAATCAAACAAAATGTTTTAACAAGTTTAAAACTTATGCAATTGATACAGTCAAACGATTTCCATGTTTTATGAAATATTTAGATATTTATCCCTTTTTGTACTATGTTGAGCATAAGGGACACTTTTATCTTGGAAACACAATTGCATAGTTTTCAGAAAAATTTACAAAACAAGTACATAACATTTCAAGCAAACTATAATGGGTATAGTTTGGGGAATTCAATACATAGCTCTTACCGATTCAGATTACATACATGGGTAAATATATAAACTATGACAGATTTAGTTTATGATCTACATCACTACAAGAGTACAACATTTAATAATTATTTAAGTATTGTTATTACCTTATATAGTATACAACGGATTCAAATACAAGAGAACACTACAGAAACTAGATTATACAAAATTGTGAGACTCTATTTCAAAACTGTACCCTTAGGTGTACTGAATTAAATCCTATCATAGTATAACCAGAGTCTCCTGGAGGGAGAGTGTGAGATTTGTGAATATATATATATATATATATATATATATATATATATATATATATATATATATATTCGGGATTGACAATCCCACACCTGAACTGCTAGCTACAGTTAGGCAGGCATGCCTGGGGTGACAAATGTCATTTAACCGACACTTGAAGAACGTCGTAAAGGTCACTAGGTCATATCAAGCATGGTTATACGACTCACAATAGCATAAACTAACAATTTGTTTAACGGATTTCATTCTTCATTAGTTTTATTTTAAGTAATGAAACTACTAAACATACTAGTGGTAGCCAAGTTTTCAAACAGAACGTACTATACATACTGGTGTTAGTCAGGGTTTTCAAACAAGAACATACTATACAAAGGTTTTTGTACCAGAATACACACATATCACGATTGGTAACAAACATGCATACAAACTAATGTTTTTCCTATACTACAACAGGACACAATAAAAAACATTCATATTTGATTCTATAATTACTTAGTTTAGGCATCAGGGCCACGAATGGAGAATATTCGATAGACTGTTGAATGTGTGGTTTCCTCCTCATTTCCTGTTCCTTGTTTGGTTGTGGGCTTAGGGCAGATCCACATAGTCAACTATCTATTCAATATTGGTCTATATATGGCCAACATGAACTAAGTAGTCATAGATAGAACTGATAACATCACACTTTTACTAAAGAAAATATTGGATTTTCTTGGAAACATGCGGACATTTTACAGAGTCATCAACCGGTGTTCCTTACAAAAACATCGCTTATGAATTCACCAGCTTTATGCTGATACTCTTTCAAATCTGCTTGTATTCTCAGGAAATCAGTAGACAGGTACCTTCTGGAGTTTTGAGAAGACGGAGCGTATAGAGTCACATCTTTTTCTTTTGATTATACTATTGATGTATAAAAACATGAACCAAATAGATGTAATACCTTTTCATATATGTATTCAATGTAATGGTTGTGTTTACTATGATTACTATGATGCAATTGTTGTGATACTACATATGACGTCATCCACCCCCGAACATTTCCGCCGTTCCGGTTTGGGGGTGTGACAAGATATCATCGAATTTGCATCCAATTGGGGTAGAAGTCCAAAGAAAAGAAAGCAGTTCATTGTTGTCTGTTATGGACTATTATGGACCCTATGTAAAATGAGGAATGATCGAATATTTCAGACGAAGTTAAATACACCATCACGGGTGGTTGAAAATGTCAAATCTCTGGTGTACTTAAGGATTAAGTGTAGGGGTAAAAACGACATTTGTAACTAGGAGGAATGGAATGCTTCCCCATATTCTTTACTGTAGATGTTTTCCTCTGTACTCTTGATTTTGACCTCGTTTAGCTACTTGCTGGTGGGGTGTTTTATAATATTTGTCGTTTCCAAAAAAAAAATCCAAGAATTAAAGCATTCTTCCATAATGAAAAATTACCTTTACATTATTTACATTCAACTTTTTTCAAAAAAAAACCATCCGATGATTTTTAATAGAATCTTTATAAATGTGATTTTTTTTCCTTTTATAATTCTCGTATAAAAAACTAAAATACCCTTGTAGCAGTTATTTTTAGAAACTGATTAATTAATTAATGTTAATATATGATGTGTTTTTAAGCACTAGTTTTAAATTTATAAATCCGATTCTATATTAACTAGATTTCACACACTAGGTTGTGTACCTAATCGTGAAATAGTATAGTCATTGCAAGAAAGTATGTTGAACTCTTAGGGAATGGTGTTGAACTAATATTAGAATTTTTTATTATAAGTTTTACTAAACAAACGAAAGCGATAAAAAGGGATTTTTATTATATAATATCAAGCAAAATAATAGTTATACTAACTAGATAAACTGACTGGAAATTGGTCAGTTCGGGTACTTTGGTTTAGATTGGATTACATCTCAAAATCATGGTTAATTACTTTAATACAATGAATATTCATTACTTATTCACCGATTCCTAATATGACTAGCATCTTGATCCGACTACTAATCGTAATGAATCTTAAGACTATTAATTCCAAATCGATATGTCATTAATTAACCCTAAATTCATTATTGAGTTCGTATTAAGCAAGATTTGATCTTTATGGATCCTAATAATCGTAGGAATTAAATCACACATAGAATGATCATCTAATAGATATATACACATTAAAGTTCATTAATTTATTAACCATACAATAGATCTTGATCCGACTCTAGCCATAATTACCAATGATCATGGACAACTATGATTCAAATTAACATCTATTAATTCAACAATAAGTGATAAAGTAACAATATTTAATACATATGGATATTCGATCAAACATGACAAAATAAATTAAATAAGAATAAATAATCATAATAGAAATTTAATCCATAATCGCAATGCATTATCTAACTTAAACATAAAGAAAACAATTTTAACGCCCTAAATCAAAAGGTAAAAACATTAGGAAAACAATTGGAATACTAATCTTGACCAGAACAACAAATCAGATGATTTCCGTTACGAATCCGCTATTGAATCCCGTCAGGTTTTCTCTCCATATCAATTTAACGGCCCTATGGCCGCCTTCTAGACTCTCAAAATCAAAACTATGAGGTTTCTTATCGCATAAGTCGAAGTGGATTATCAGATCTCTTTTTAGGGTGAATTTTCGAATCTATTTATAGATTTCAGGAACACCGCGACACGGTATTGGCATTGCCACAGTGTGAGAAGAGGGATTCCGTAAAGTACAGAAACTAGTAATCTGGAAAAATGCAATTTTTTTTTGTTTTTCTAAAGGGGAAAGACACGTTTTTTTTAAAGGGGTGTTACGTGCGTTTCAGCTGCTTCTGATATTTTGCATCTTTTTTCAGCTCTGTTTTCTTCCTTTTGCATCGTAGCTATGATTTTACCTATAATTATCCATATCAAAGCATATTAAGTATCATATATATATTTAAATATAACAATTAAGTAAAATATATTAAGATAATGACCTAAAATATATATTAAAATAAGACAATATTGATATAGGTGATGGAAATTCCAATTAAATAATCGGTCACTATTTGTGTTTCTTGAATTCCCATAGCTCCATCCTACTGCACAATTGATGTCATCCACATTATAACCTAGCTAGGGGTTCCCTATAGTACACGAACTAGTAATATGGAAAAATGCTATTTTTCTTGTTTTTCTGAAGGGGAAAGACACTTTTTTAAAGGGCTGTGACGTGCGTTTCAACCGCGTCTGATTCTTTGCCATTTTGCATCATTTTTCAGCTCCGTTGTCTTCCTTTTGCATCCTAACTATGATTTTACCTATAATTATCCATATCATAAAAAAAGTCAAACAAAAAGTTATGTGATCTCTAGATATTTTTTTTATGCATTTTTATGATTTTTAGGGTTTTTTTAGGGTTTTTTGGTTTTCCAAATAACCCTTCCATATATATATATATATATATATATATATATATATATATATATATATATATATATATATATATATATATATATATATATATATATATATTATATATATATATATTAAGAACAAACAAACATTGTTTTGTATCAATGGACTTTCTTGGTATGGACCATCACCCTCATGAGCACATGAAACAAACATTGTTTTGTATCAATGGACTTTCTTGGTATGGACCATCTCCCTCATGAGCACATGAGAGATGCATGGTGGGGTGGCCCTGTTTGTTCGATATTCTGTTGCATACTTGCGATCGCAAAAGCTGAAGAAGTACCACTCTCTTGAATTTAGTTTCGCCACCTCTTTATTAACAGAAAAAAAAATTAATAATAAATAAGCAATCATGTCCAGGAATCTTTAAAAGCTTGAAATTTGAAGTCAATTATTAAATGCTTTAAAATGACATGAAAGTTTACCCAAAATAAATGCATTCTTTTCCAATGGTACAGTGTTCCTTCAAGATGTTTCAAATGGGAGACTAACAAGTAAGAAACATGACGCATATTATTGGCACAACATCAATTTCAGAATATATTCTTATTAGCACTACCCATGGTGTGTATGTGACAAAGAAAATAAATGTGTTTCCATTCACCAACTTACATGTATCACATACATATAAGGAACATCTATTTAAATCGAACATTACCACACTTTGTCTTCCAATCATGATTATTTTGATTTAAAATTGTACTTACCTAGACAATATAGGCAAGAAGGGAGCAATAAGACGATTACCAAAAATGGTGGCGGCTTTTATGAAGGCAAGTGGTATTTTAATATGTTTAATTAACAAGAATAAAAGGTGTATTAATTTGTATTTAAATAAATTAAATAATACTTATAATTACTATATTCACATGGTGACGATGCTTGCAGTGGAAGTAGCAGTGTAGCAACCTTACAAACCCAAAACTCGTTCCGATTTCTCTCGCTCTGCCCTCTTCCCTATTTCTACTAATCAATGAAGGAAGTTGAAGAACATGCAACAAATACAGTTGGTAAGTACACTTTTAAGTTTGAACACTTTATAATCGAAGAAACCATTGTCTTTTTTCTCTACCAAAGTTTATGCATTAGTGACTTGTATCTTGTGTATGAAAAGCTGTATATAATATTTGACGTCCTTTGTAGGCTTTTTATTATATTTTTAGCAAGGTAATAAATAAAACATGAGATTTTATCAATGGAAAAATCGGCGACTATAAAATTCATAGTAATCATGCAATATGACTTGTACAACATGGTATGAAAGTTGTATATTTTTAGGAATTAGCCATCAAGAAACTCTAATAAGCTTTTATATTTGAGAAATTAAATACATGGGAATGGCATAGTAGTACTGATTATCAAATAATGAATTGAAAGTTGTAGTCTTGTAGATGGTAATTTAGAAAGTACGAGGCCCAAGATCCCTAAATTGTTAGATATAAAAGGTTGTACATTCAGCTGGATTTATTATTTTATACCTGAAAATCTAAAGGAATGGACACATCATATTCGGCAATTTCAAATTATTTATTATTTATTTATTTTTGAAAACTTGATTTTAACGAAATAATTTATGAGTATCGTTTTCAGAAAAAAAAATCACAAAATAAAAAAAATCATAATTTTTAGAATAAAAAATATAAAAAGTCGCTAACTTTTATCTTTTATCGATTTTGACAATGTGTTTTTTTTTCTGTTGTAATTAAGTTATTATTTTTTCAAATTGTTGCAATTTGGACCGGTTTGCTTCAGGTCATTTGGTTAACATAACTAACGTGACATGATAAGGTGTCACAAGAAAAAACATGGGGCAAAAGTCACCATGTTTTCATTTTTTTGCGATATTATATATCTTCTAAATACAAAAGTTGGTGCAAATTTCTTTTGATTTACCAACCTTACTCTTTTTTTTTTATTTTACATTTTCAGTCCTTTGTTTATAAAACAAAATTCATCATATGTTATTTGACTTTTCTATTGGACATATTACACACCTTTATTTTGAAAAAATGACATTTTCTTCCTTATACTTTTTAAAATAATGCTTTTACCCCCCTTAACTTTGGACTCTTTATTTTGCTACTTTCATCTCTTCCATTTTCCACACTCCACTTTTTAAAATGTCGCTTTAACCCTCTTAACTTTGAATTTTCTATAATATCATGTTAACCCCATCCATTTCATAAACTTTCGTGTTTATCGTGTATACAATATAGTTACCACCACTCGACTTTGTAAAATGTCATTTTGAACCCTTCGGGCTTTTAAGTTTATAAAATTCTTTAATTAAAAAAAAACAAATTTAGTATTCGTGTATTTTTATGTATGTGTCGGTATACATTCGAGCTGGTCAACGTTCCCATGTAATTTTAAAATTTCGTACATTAATTTTAAAAAAAAAAACTTGAGTAAATTACACGAATGGTCCCTATGGTTTGGGGTAATTTGCGCGATTGGTCCCTAACTTATTTTTTTTAACTCAGAAGATCCCTACTGTATGATTTTGTTACGTGCTTGGTCTCTACTGTTTGTTTTTGTTACGCATTTGGTCCCTGTCTTACCTAAAATTATTTATATATGGAAAAATGGCGGGGTAGGTAAGGTAAGGTGATGGGGTGGGGCTGGGGCTGGGGGTGTGTTTATTTAAATAAATTAAAAAATCAATGACAAAATAGTCTTTTTAGGTAAGACATTGACCAAGTGCATAACAAAAACAAACAATAGGGACCTTCCGAGTTAAACAAATAAATTAGGAACCAAACGTGAAAATTACCCCAAACCATAGGGACCATTCGTGTAATTTACTCAAAAAACTTACTTGCTTTTTTTTTATGTATATATCGGTATAAGTTTGAGTTTTTCTACGTTTCAATGTATTTTTTTTATTTTTTTATTTACGTTTTGGTGATTTGAGTTTGTGTACGTTTTGACGTAAATATTTTTTTTTACGATTTCGTGCTTATTTTTATGCATTTTGCTAGACATGGCTTTGGTCCCTGACTTTTTTGCTTTGGCAGCTTAAGTCCTCCTAAGTTCTATGTATGGCTTTGATCCCTAACTTTAATGGTTTGACAACTTAAGTCTTCCTAAGTTCCTATTTTGTTACCGAAAGAATTCATCTTCTTAAATCAATTACTGCCGTCTGCCGCCGCAACGCGCGGCGGGTAAAATCCTAGTTGAAAACTAAATATCAAGGTCACAAAAAATGAAAACATAGTCACTTTTGTGGCATGTTTTTTTTTTTTTTGCTTTGACACGTCATTATGCTTCATCAGCAATGACAACCGGATGATCTGAAAACAAACTGCAGAAATGAAACAAATTGAAAACATAGTAACTTAATTGTAACAGAAAAACGAATGTCAAAATCGAAAAAAAAAAGTAAAAATTTAATGTGTTTTGTGCCAGTTACCCTAATTTTTACTAATATATCCCTTCATCACAAACCTATTTTCCATAGACAAAAAACACAATATTAAGGAACCATTAAATTATCTCTAACTTTATTAAATAAAATGACAATCTTATCCTTTTATTGCATTTAATTCAATCTTTTTCTTTTATTTAATTATATGATAGATTAACTAATAATGATGATATTTTGATAAAAAAATATATATATTTATTTTAGAAATAAGTTTTTATTTTGAGACAAACCAAAAATAAAATATAGACTATTAATATAGAAAGTAAGAAGTAATTATTTTTCTTTCTAGGTAAACAAAGTTAAATTTAACAAATTTCGTTGTGTATTCATGAGTTTCGTTGTCTACCCTTTTACAAGACTATATTTTACCAAATTTCATGAAATACATGGAAAAAATGTCTATTAAACTTGCAGTCTAAACGTCAAAAATCAAAACACCTTATTAATTTTGTTGCAAATTATTATGTTTAAATATAAAAAATATACTTTATTACCAATTTCATGAACTATGAGCTAATGCATTTTCTTTTTTAAAATATATAATCGTTTTATTACATATAATGAAAATTAGTATTTTACGATATAATCTATTTTTTATATTTTTAGTACAACCGAATAATGATCGTAAGTGGGAATGGGTTGGTGATTCTCTAACTATATTATTTTCAATGGAAGGTGATCCATATTCATTATCTTTTCAAAAAAAAAAAAATTTAACATTCACTAAGTTTTGAGTTTTTTTAATTTTGACTACTTAATTGGTCAATCTTGGTAATACCCATTAACATGCATTGCTACGTGTCAGTTTAATGAAAAATTATTATCAAAAAACATTTTTGATTGTTAACCTTTTTTAAACAAATGTCATATTTAAAAAAATATTACATGATAATAATATTTAATTAGATAAATATTTTAAAAAAGAACAATAAAAATGTAGGATTTTTTTAGGTATATTAAAAATTTATTAAACTATTCGGTACATAATTACAAAAAAAAAAAAAAGATTTTGAGAGAGATTATTCAAACTCTTACCAATTTAATATTTGATGTTGGATATTGAAGAAAAATATTTAACATTAAATTAATATCATCAAAATAAATTATAATAAAATATTATTAAATGAAAGAAATCAAATGATAAAAAAATCTCTAAATTCCAAAATGTTTAATAGATAATAACTTGATGAAAAATATACACAAAAACTATTCTACCACTAATCACCACTCTTTTTGCTTTATTGTTATACAAACACAGAAACCCTATTAGATGGTGGCCGAGGCTTTTCAAAGGTTATAAGGTACAAGTGGTGGATACAAATAGCAATGTTCACCATGTTTGCACTCTCCGGCCAATCAGTGGGAGCAATGTTGGGAAGACTTTACTTCACCAAAGGTGGAAACAGTAAATGGATTGCAACACTTGTTCAAACTATTGGATTTCCACTTATTTTTCCATTCATATTCCTCTTTTCGCCTTCAAAAACACCCTCGGAGCACCCCGAGCAAATCGCCGGAAAACCTTCTTGGACAACCCTTGTGATTCTATATACAACTATCGGCACATTCTTGGCTACAAACTGCATGTTGTATACTTTTGGACTCAACTTTCTGCCAGTTTCCACGTATTCATTGATCTGCACGAGTCAACTCGCATTCAATGCTTTGTTTTCATACTTCCTTAATGGTCAGAAGTTCACTCCTTTCATAGCTAATTCGCTTGTTCTTCTCAGTTTTTCGTCTACGCTACTTGTGTTCCAAGGCGATTCTGAAGAGACTAGAAAAATATCGAGAAACAAGTATATTATTGGTTTTGTATGCACAATTGCTGCTTCTGCAGGTATAGTCTTCTTTTGAGCTTTATCATAAGGTTGTTAAAATCGTAATCTTGATCGTAGAATCATACGATCTCATCTAGGTAAATTGATCCCGATCTTACTTGGATCGTTTTTCGGTAAAATTGTAGGATCGAATCGTAAGATCGTGGGATTGTTAATATTTTTTTAAAAAATAATTCAAATATTTTTCATGGACTGACTACGTAATATACCCCTTTTGAATTGTTTATCATTAAACAATCTATTATAAATGAATTTTTTATGTTTTAAAATATTTATTGTTAACTGGATGGTTAACTAGTGGATGGATATGTATTTATTATGTTTTAAAATGATTTTGGTAGGATCTTCTATAAAATCTACCTATTTTTTAAATATATTCAGTCATCACAGTGACTCTTTTTTCCGATTTAACCGGTGCTCTTAAAACTAACATTAGTTTTCATTAACTTAAAACTAACATTAGTTTCGTTAACTTACATGATACGTATGTACTTCCTAAAATAGTATCTAACTTTTAAAATAACTTCTAATTACATACATGGTATGTATATAACCTAATAAACTGACAAATAAAAAGCAATTTCATTAAGCAATATGTTATTTCATAGTGTACATGTGATGATATCTAGTTAAATGAGAATTCATTAATTAGTTTTAACACGTATGAAAACAGAATTAGCTAGTGGCAGTGAAAAACATTAAAAATTATGTGGTTTTTATTGACTGAAAAAATTAGTGTTAAACCGCAAAAAAGATATAAAAAAGAAGTATATATATATATATATATATATATATATATATATATATATATATATATATATATATATATATATATATATATATATCAACTTTTAATTTAGTTCTTTTATAATTTTGTTTCTTTTGTTACATTTTATGATTTTATTTTTGTATTTTTTAGCTTTTAGTGATGGAATGACAAGTGACAAAGAGTTTTCTGAAGTTCTTATTTCTTTGAAGTTTGAACATATATGATGTGACGAAATGACAAACTTCAGAAGTTTTATTAAATACTACTAGATATTATGTTTCATTTTTTTTTCTAACATTAAAAATGAGATAAGTGATGATGTCACACTAATGCCGCTATAACCATTTGACAATGTTTCCAACATTAGATCACTACTCAAACTAGAAAACCATATATGTAGTGAAATTGTTTCCGTAAGTTTTCCATATATGGTATGTACACATTAGCAACAACCTGAGCCTTTCATCAATGTAAAAATATGCAGATCTTTATAGACATTGAACAAAAATATACACAATTTCACAAAAATGAAACAAAATTGAAAGTCGAGTAGTTAACTTTTGGTTGAAAAATTAAAGGTAATCTTTTTTTTGGACTACCGGGTCATCCCAAATTTGAAGCCTGTGGGATTGGAATATTTGGTAACTCATTTTGGAGTCCTTAAATCTCAAATGATCAACATTAGTCACTTTAACTTTTAAGGTACTTGAACCGGAAAAAGCAAAACATTGTTACTATTTAATACAAAACTCTCTTTATATATAGTCTAGTAGTGATCATTTGGAATTAAGTATTCGGAAATATAGTCTAGTAGTGATTATTTGTAATTAAGTATTCGAAAATAGAGTTTTCTCAAATTAAAATCTAACAGACTTCAACGCTTAGGTAACCTTTTGTTTGAAAATAATATAGCCATAAATATAATGTTTAAGTTATGATTGTGTAGGGTATGGATTAATGCTTTCTATAACGCAACTCGCATTTCAAAAGATTTTGAAATCTACAAGTTATAATGTGGTATTTGATATGATCGTGTACCAAAACTTGATAGCAAGTGTTGGAATTCTCATGGGACTATTTGCTAGCGGCGAATGGAAAGATATAAAGGGGGAAATGGGGAGTTTTGAATCTGGAAGGGTTTCATATATAATGAATCTTGTGGGGACAGCTGTCTCATGGCAAGTTTTCTCGGTTGGTTATATGGGTTTGATCTTTAACGTTTCATCTCTTTTCTCAAATGTTATTACCACTTTAAGTATCCCAATTGTGCCTATTTTGGCCGTAATGTTTTTTGATGAAAAAATGAATGGAGTGAAGGTGATTTCCATGTTGTTAGCGATATGGGGATTTCTCTCTTATATTTATCAACATTATCTTGATGACTTGAAGGAAAAGGAAAGTGCTAGACTTGTAAATCATGATCGTGAAGTTAATCATACATAAACAAGCCTCACTAGTCAATAAAGTTATTGTTAGAGACTTTGTATTTTACTTGAATTTCCATAGAATGACGAGCTATCTAGCAAAGTATGTATACAAAATGATGTAAATCATTTTTTGTATGTGATATCTAAGACCTTACTGTTTGTGTATAATGTGTGTACTGTATTGATAGTTTGATACTACCATTTGTTATGTCCTCATTTTTTTATGATATTATGATTTAGAGGTTACATTCTCAAAGTTGACAGTTGAGTTCTTTTGTGGGTGTTCATGCAACTTAACATAGTTATAAGATGTACCTAGCTATTACATGCAACAAAATATCTTAAGTTGGTTCTTTCTTAAGGACAAGCTTTGATTTACATCGCATGATAGATTCTATCATGTTTGGAATAATTTTGTGTCATTATATATATATATATATATATATATATATATATATATATATATATATATATATATATATATATATATATATACTAATTTTGAAGTGCCAGATGAACAGTTCTTGCATCTAATTGGCTGGATTTTTTTTTGTTTTTATTATTTTTCTCCAAGAATTCCCTGTTGTTTTTAATTTTTTTCTTCTTTCGCTCTCCTTTGCCCTCAATCAACCTCCGTCCCGTCCTCCTTCTATCTCCCCAAATTCCACCGTCCTCTTCCGATCTCTGTTCATGGCGGACAACCATGTGACAACCCGATATTTCGAATCAATGTAATGACCTGAAAAGTCAAGAATTGTAAACTCTTTTGATATAATGAAATTAGCATCAAAAATAAAATGTTCAAAAGTCTCTATTGGGTTGCCTAAAATGATAGTTATCATGTCAAGGTTTTCAGAAATATAAAGAACACTAGAATCCGAGTTATAACGAAGAAGTTATGACCAACCTAAGATTCACAACAAAACCGTCAACACGATTAAACGTTAAACGCGAAGTTTTAATAAAATACTTTTTAACCTTAAGTATCTAAACGAAAGTCGTAGATATCGTTAAACCGTGAACATACATAAAAAGAACGCCCAAATCTGACTTCGTATGAGGAAGTTATGATTTTTCGAAGTTTCGGATATAACAGTAGACAGCTAAAAACTCGAAATAGAGATCGAGGGATTTTTGGCTGAAACAATCTAAATGAGAATCGAAGATCTCAACAATAGTAGCGCAACGGTAAAAAGTCTGACGAAAACGGGCATCGGATGAAGGAGTTATGGATTTATGACGGAGTTTTCGTGTTCCGGCCTGTTAAAAATTAATTAATTAAAAATAAAGTCAAAATTTGCCGACGAAATCTAAACGAGAGTTGTAGAGCATGTTCTCACCTACGCGTGTATATATAGAACATTGAAAACGGAGCTCGTACGCAGAAGTGATGGATTTTACAAGTTCGAGACACAAAATCCGAGGCTGTCAGGCTGGCTACGACGTGGCACAGATGGCCACGACGTGGGGGCCCTGATTGATGGGTTTTCAGGCTTGGCAGTAGACGTCTTGTCCATGGAAGAGGATAGGATCGACGCCACGACGTGGCAACCTTATGGCCACGACGTGGGACCCAAAAATTGAGCAATAAATAGAGCTCAAAGGGTTTCGGGTTTCATTGCTCAATTCTCTTCTTTCTCGTGCCGAAGCTCTGCGTTTTAACCCCCGAAGCCATCCCAAAGCCCCGGTCTTCACATCCATGTTCCGAAGGAAGGTCTTACACTCTCGAGAATTCCCGAGAATCCCAAGAAAATCCGCTTTCTCCTGTCGAAGTTCTGCTCGGTTTTCATCTCACCATCTTCACTCTATCAAGTGAGTTCATACCCCTATAACTACGTTTTCAAATGCTTTGTAAATGCTTTTATACACTTTTAAGGGGGGGGAATACAAGTAAACACACGATTATCCTCGTGTGAATAACATAAATCTTTTGTTATACTTTTTGTTATAATCAATCATATGTGATTTATAACTATCATACGAAAGCGTTCTCATACAACATATCACGAGAACACTTTGTCCTTTTTGGAATGAAACATGTTGTTAAGTAAATATGAAACACTTTATTTATATTTTTAGTATAAATGTTCAATAATGTTATTACAAATGTTATACTTTACATACAAAGTCGACACTACACTAGGGTTTACCATACAAACGAATCACATTTTTGGAAAAACTATAATAGGTATAGTTTACTAGATATTCATGAGATTTCACATACTATAAATACTATATCAAGCGAATACTTTCATATACAAGAACAAGTAGACTTTTCATACGTAAATCTATTTGATACTAAGTTTTGTGAGACATTCAACTTCACGTACTTTCAAGTATGCAGTTAAAGTCTTGTATTATATACCATAATCTCTTGTAGGGAGAGCGTGATTCTTGTGTATAGATCTATACGGGATTGACAATCCCGCACCTAAACTGTTAGCTACAGTTAGACCGGCAAGTCTGGGGTGACAATCGTCATAACATTCCAACGCCTGAAGAACGTTGTTACGGGCAGTCTGGGTCAATAGCATGGTTATAAAACTCACATGGAGTATTAAAAACACGTTGATTTACGGGGTTATCAAATGCCTTAGTGATTTTTACATACATAAATCTACTATTCTAGGCATGAAAAACACTTTTGCATTTCAGTTTTGGAACTTTTAAACTACCACATATTTATGGAAAAACATTGGATTTCTAAAAGCAAACATTCAAATCAGTCGGGTCTTGGTAGAAGACTATTTTTATACTAGTAGGAAATATGGGATTTTCTAGGAGTTTTCAAACATCTACAAACAATTTCATTCAGATTTATACAAACATTAACATTAAATACTTATGAACTCACCAGCTTAAATGCTGATCTACTCTTTCAAATCTACTTGTATTTCTCAGGGATTCAGTAATACAGGTAACTTCAGCTTTTGGAGAAGTGACGCTAAGGCGTCAGTTTAAAACTCATTTTGTCATCATATTGTAATTTGTTTTGAAACAAGTATCATTCAACGATGTAACTTTTAAATTATATATATGATGGTTGGTTTACTTTCTTTACTATGTATTCAACTGTTACGATACTACATGAAGTCATCCGCCCTCGAACGATTCCGCCGTTCTGGTTTGGGGGTGTGACAGATTGGTATCAGAGCATTGTTTATAGTGAACTAAGTATATCGAACCACATAAGATATACAAACTATAAATGCATAGGGACTAAAACTCTCTGACAAAACGTTTTTACACCTAAACCGCGTTTCATGTAGCTTAAATTATTTGGGTCATAAAAGCACAAATACATGCATACAACGAGTCATTTTCATAGTTAGAACTATACAAGAAGTATTAAGACAAGTTGGACACTACGACTAGGCCTCGGAATATGTAATCGGATTTGGGACGAATATAGCCTGATCAACTATATTTATCCGAGATCGGACTAATGTATGTCGAGGAATGGTCGTAGTGAGCAACAAGTCAAAACTTACCAAAATGACACTAGTATCAAACATACAAACTTAAATACTATAGGAGTATTTAGTAAATACAATTTTCTAACTTACATGTTTAGATTCACATGTTTTTAATTTCTAGACAATTCTCATACCTCTATTCTCGTACAGACACAATGGCTGGATTCTATCCACCAGGGGATCCCTACTACCCGAATCAGGGCAATGGAGGATGGATAGAGGAGGACCCCGAAGAGGATGAGGAACCTATAGGGTTGGAGGAAGAGGATGACTCTGGGACAGACTCAGAACCAGAAGTAATCAACCCACCAGTCGCTCAACCTCCCGCATTTAGGGGAAACTTTCAGGGACCAACTCCCATTTGGGGAAGCCACATTCACCATTGGAGCCGACAGGAAGGATTACGTCCTCCCTACGGTATGTGTCGGGACTTGTACGACGTCAGGGGTGGAGGTTCAGCCGACCGAGCACTCCCAGTCATGGTGGGAAAACTAGCCAACCAGTCCTATCAATCCGGGGTTCAAGCTGACCGGATTCGTGAAGTCAACGTGGAAGTACAAGTTCACACTTCCGACATCCGTCGACTGGACAGGTTGCAGGAAAATGCTCAACTCCGCACCGACACATTCCAAGATCAACTGATTGCAGCCCTCTCTGAAATAAGGGAAATGAGGGAACAACAAGCCGCTTTTGATAGGCGTCTTATGGGAGCAAAGCAATCAGACACGAAGTCGAGCTCCAAGCGCAACCTACGTCGCAAGTAGTACTTGCTCGGATCCCAAAGATTTTGTTATAGAATAGGAACTCGGCTAAAAGTCTTACTTTTCTTTAACTTCTGTATCGGAGACCCATAGAAGGGTCGAAATTTTCTTAACTTCAAAATATAACTTAACGTATGTTTAATATATATGAAGAAATTTCTTTGTGTGTTAATTCCTTGAATACCACTCAGATTCATAAGTCTATCTATCATTATACAAACTTATATTATGAGACAAACTCTAAACCTTGGGTAGGTCAGTCAAATTCATAAATTGACGAAAATAACAAATTTATTAACACACAGCTTCCAATCATCAAAGACTTATGTTCTTCATTCTATTTCTCTAGCATAACGATGCCGCCCCGTAGATCTGCACACCGCGTCAACAACACAACACCTCCACCACCACCACCTCCGTCAACGGATAATGCCATCTTGATAGCTGTTGTAACAGCTGCAGTGACAGCAGAAATGGCACAAATGAGTAATAATGGGTCCGGAGGGGGGTAAATAGCTCTACGAATGGCCAACGTCAGGGTCGTTCAGGGGATTGCACCTTCAAGGACTTCACCAATAGCAAGCCCATATCTTTTAATGGATCCGGAGGGATAATGGCCCTATCACAATGGATAGAGAAAACAGAAGCGGTTTTTTGAGGTCTGTGCTTGTCTAGAAGTGAGAAAGGTAAAATTTGCTGCTTGTACATTCTCCGAGAGAGCTCTGACATGGTGGAATGGCCATGTCAAGTCACTAACTCTGGTAGTGGCAAATTCTATG